TATAATGGTTTTATTTGAGTTTTTTGGCTGTGTTATAGCAAATGTATTACTGTGTTAGTGTACCACGTTTGGGCATGAGTCATCACAATGGAATGCAGGGCATCAACCAATAGGCATGCAGCTTTCCTCTATTCTTCTTGCTGATTGGCTGTTGGGATTTAACTTGATTAACACCTGCACAGAGCATTTCCACCTGCACAGAGCATTTCTTGCTGATTGGCTGTTGGGATTTAACTTGATTAACACCTGCACAGAGCATTTCCATACTAACAGTATGTCTGTATTCAAGTGTTTTGGTAGGTATTTCAAGCTTTCCTGCTCCAGCATTGGAATGCGGGGCATGAACGTTTTTTTTTTTATTTTGAAAATCAACAGTTTGCATTATGCAATTAAAAATCCTAACCAATAAAGTAGGGAATAGCTATCCAACTGTTGTTTTAGTTGTATGTTACTTCATATTATAGTTATATCAATGTAAATCATTGTTTTCCCTTGTGTTTCTCATTCTTTCCCTGCCATGTCGTAAAATGTGGTGAACCCATCGCTGTATTTGCTCCAAAGCAAATATTGGCCTTTCTAGTTTATTAAATGGTTTATTTGCAAATTGACATAAAAGTAAAACAACATTGAAGCCTAATAATACAAAATTGTACAAAAGGCTGAATTACGTTGTTCTAGGGAACACTAAATATCAGTAATATTTACAAACATAATCAAACTAAATAACAAGAATATTTACAATTAGTAGCAGGTAATTACACGGTAGATGAAGAAATGTTTAAGAGTTTAGACAGGAATGGACTAGCACTGTTCCTGTACCTTTCAGATTTTATAGATGGTACTGTTGGCTAAGCGGGAACCCCCCCCTTTTAAGTCCCTATTATGTACTTCATTGCGGGTGGGGGGTGTCCCGATGGCCAGTGACCACTAAAATTTAAGCTGGGACAGCTAAAAAGACAATTAGGGACATTTTTTGGAAAATGGAAAAATAATCAACATTTTGGCCCCGGAAAAAGTTCCCAAAATGGTCTGTTTACTCTGCAATTATAGCACACCTGGAAGTCAGAACGTAAACAAAATAAAGCTGACTTCAAGTTCACTTCCTGAAAAATAGGTTGGGACAGTTCATCCTCATTTCGGGACAGTAGGAAAAAGTATAATTTTGTGGCCTGTATCACGCGTTAGTAATGATAATAATATTTTAAGGATTAATGACCTGCCCTGAGATGTATATTTAAGGGTTAATGACCCGCCCCGAGGTGAATATGGTGTGATAAAGCCTTGTCAGTTGCTATAACCACCGAATGAAGCCACCGAGTGAGTGCAGCGAACGAGGTGGCTTTATGAGTTGGTTATAGCAACTGACAAGGCTTTATCACACCATATTCACTGAGAAAGGGCGGGCCATTAACGCTATTATCATATAGCCTATCCAAACTAACACAGTAAAGAGTGACACATTCCTGTATAACACATACAAACTTAAATTATGTAACAAACCGTTACAGTCACTCCCCTATCTTCCCGTCTGCTAGCCGCTGTTTCTGTCAGCTTTCCCCTATTCCAAGGGCCCGCATATTGAGACTAAATTGGGGTCAAGGAAAAATTCTGACATAGCGTTGCCCATTGTATGCTCTTACAGTGTAATCGTTTTACCTGTTCCACCGGGTTCATTTGAGTTCACCGGAACATTGGAAGGGGGTCATGTTCTATTTGGGTCATTGGTAGGGAACAGGTGTTCTTATGGGAGTCACCGGAGGTCATTGGAACACAACTCAAGTTATTTTCTGATTTTTTAGAACTAGAGCCGCATTCTATTGGGGCCACCCGAGGTCATATGCGGTTGATTATTGGGTTGTTTAATGTATGGATTGGGATGAATAATGACCCTGTTTTACTCTATTTGTGACATTACGGCGTCATAAGGAATGTGGAATGGAGCCTTCTGATTGGTCAACGTCACCTGGCTAAATGATAATGTATCATAAGGCCTGGTCATTTCCTATAACGACCTCTTAAATTGCCTCATTCGCTGCACTTTTAAAACTAGTAAAAGGCAGTTCAACAAAATAAGGATCGCGGCACATCAGGACAAAACTGCAGCCATATCCACGCTATGGAGGCCAACACCATTAACCCCTAGCCTGATTTTTTAATTGCAGGTTGTTTAAGCTTTTGTATGTAAAATTGAAAATGTCTCTGGAAAATGCAGACTGCAGATGGGTGTTTCTAAATTTGTGTTTGTTCTGTTTGCAGCGAGTGTGGAAAAGTTGTGGACCCTTTACCTGACAATCCTGTGGAGTTCTGCCTGCGGTGTGAGTGTGAATATGAGAGTAGAAACACCATGCTGATGAAGGTACTTTCTAACTACATTGCATTAGATATTGTCAGGGCTGGAAATACTGGGTGCATGTGCTCCTCAGTGCACCCAAAATTGGAGCTGTGCACCCAATTTTTTTCTGTGGGTGCACTGGGTGCACTGGTGCACCCAAACATTTTCGTAGGTATTTTTGTACATATTAAATGTATAATAGTATACAGGATTTTCTTCGCATCTAAGTGTCAGAATAATAATAAAATATTTATTTGTTGCAGTACTTGTTTAAGATTTTGAAGTTACAATGTAGCTCCCATTTCAGATTCAAGCCTAGAAGAGGAGCATTTTTTTTTGTTTTATATGGTGCACCCAAAAAATTTCTGTGCACCTATTTTTTTAGGTTAGGTGCACCAGTGCACCTATTCCCAAAAATGAATTTCGAGCCCTGTATTGTGGACGTGACTCTGAAACCTAAAGTCTCTTGGAATGTCGTCATAATGGAATGAGCCCTTCAGTAAAACGTACTGCACCTCCACGAAACCTGTAATGTATTGTGCATAGCACTTTGGCAGAATGTCTTGTTTAAAGTCGTATTCCTGTATACATATATTTCTGTCTCTCTCTCTTTATATATTTTCATGAATATCAGTTACTGTACCAGCTTGTAAGCATAGTTCTGTAAAATCCTTGGCATTCACGCACACATACTTGCACACATGGATGGATAAATACACACACACACACATAGACACACACAAATGTACATACACATGGACTCACAGACACACACACATGGACACAAATACACACATTTATATCATACCTGGGCCACAATAACGTACGATAATGAGTTCCGGACCGAGCCGTACTTTACGGTACAGCCTGGGCTCCATGGCTTCCATAGAACGATTCGGACGCGCTTTGCCCTAACTGCGTACGCCACTTTGGAAAATTTGAATACTGAATTCGGACATTGGAATTCATGTTGTTGCATTTTAGGGTTTAGTGGAACCAACTTTTGGCTCATCTTGCATTGAAAGGCGCGTTTTCTTGGGTGGGTATGACATAAATAAAATACAACACGGTGCATTCCGCATCGCCCTCTGTTCCGGCCCTCCCGCAATCCGACTCGCGGGCGACACGCGGTCGGTCGGGCGACCCGCGGTCAGTCGGGCTGGTACCTTAGGAATTCGGAATACCCCGTGTTGTATTCTATATGTATACATAAACTTGGACTCAGACACACACACATGGACATGCATGGCCACACGCATATATGTACATGGACAAACACAGATACATATATTACATGGAGACACACACACACACACACATAGACATACTGGACACACTCGGGCACACATACACATACACACACAGAAATGTAAAGGGTTTCTTTAAGTATGAAACATTTCTTGCCTTCTAGTTTAAAATAGGATAATGATGGGAATGAATAGTGGTGTGAAAAATGCAGAGTTTTGAATGTGTCGCAGGTTCTGGTCCTGTTTGTGTTAGCTGTACTGGGGGTGTTGGTGGTGTATGCTGGGTTTGTCATGTGTCTGGAGCCGCTGTGTGCCAAACCACAACAGCCAACCTTCCCAGACTCTGGACCAAGACATGCACAGGTATGAAACACGTGTAGTATGCAAAATTCAGGAGATAGTGTTTCAGAGGGTCTAGTTTTCAACATTTTCCCGTGGGAGCATGCACCCCCCCCCCCGACCACCCTAGAAATGTGCTCAATTATGGGTTGATGGAAAAAATTTATGGGCTGGCTAGAACCCTGTGCTAGAGTGACTGTATTTTGGCATGTCTTTTATTTGTATGTTGTTAGTGTAATTACTAGTACATTTACAGGTAAGGTATGATTTTAGTTGTAGTAGCCTGTAGTGGGAGATGGTGGTGAAAGATCCGTAAAGATACCAGATGATAAATTTTCTGTAGAGAAGGATCTATAAAGTCTGAAATTAAAAAGAGTGATAGAAAAGAAATGCTACAGATTTACAAAGCTATGTATATATGATGTAAACAAAAAAGGCATTGTTGGTTTGAGGAATGTTGGTTGGGTATAAGGTTGTAGTATGGAGGCTTGTGTATTTACAGAAAGTATTTCCCAATTTCAGAACAAAATTTTGACTCTTCTGCAATGTTGCAGGGCACTGAAAAAAAGGATTTTGATCACTGCATGTAGTGCGTATAAATTTAAAACATGTACATTGTATATCAATACACATCTGGTAGTAATTACCTATCACTAATTATAATTCTGGAGTATAACCTTAAAAATGAGTGTAAAAATTGGCATATTGGTAAAATAGGATGCATGTCCATCTGACATATTGAGAGTGAATTGATGTGTGTTTACAGGATGACAGACCACATCTGGTGCGCTCTGCCTCCATGTTGGGCCGTGTGGACAGTGCACGCCAGAGATGGAAGAAACAAGTGGAAGTCCAGCGAGTCAATGTGTACGATAGACGCAACATCCTTAGCTAAGTCCATTCAAGTTGAAACCTGAAGTTTCTTTGTAATCTTGAATCTTCAATCTGGACATATATATAGTGATGTTCCATATTTGTTATTTATTGTATATATGAGTGTTAGTTTAGTTCATTTGTATATTCATCTTTGAAATATTTTCATTTGTGTTTTAGGCCACACTAATTCAATTTGTTGGTTCTCGGATTCACCTCCTCATTTTTTTTCTGATTTGCAAAAAAAGAAAAGAAGATTCGTATTCTGAATCAACTTAAATATGCTCATATTTTGCCCTCAACAGTTGAGGAAAGTCCTTTTCTTACTAGTTGTTACAGTTTTCCCATCTGTCATTGCAGTGGTTTGATTAAAAGTTCGAAATTCATTGTTTAAATATTAACCCAGCCTTTTGTGTTGACTTCATGGCTCCTATCGTAGCATTTGGTGCAATACTAGGAGGCCTAGACCTGTTTTTATTTTATTTTTTTCGCCCTGTTGCTTCAAATTTTTTTCTGAAAAAAATCCAAGAACCAACAAATTAAATTGATGTGGCCTTACTACTTTCTTATGTAATTGTTCTAGGCCAGAATATATACATCAGTGTATATTTCTTGAGCTTTTACACAGTCCATGCCAACATCTGACATTACTGAAATGAGTTACAAAGTTAATGCTGTGCAGCACCAGTCCGGGAGATACAAAAGTGAAGCTGCTGTCTTATCAATTGGTTTGTGACAGATCTTTTCTTGTTTTTGGAATGTTTTCACTAAATGTACTATACAATCATGCATTTTGATTTGTGTTTTATTTGAGGTAGTATATTTTTTTACATGTTTAGAAGCCTTTAGTGTAAGTATAAAATGATCTGACATAAACATTTTGTACATTACATATAAATCATCAGATACTTCATATCTTGGGTACTAGATACCTGTTTTATGTCCATTGGGGTATCTGACAATTGCTCTAAAACACGGAAGGTATATAGATAGGAAATAACCAATGTAGCTGGTAAAACACAAGTCTTTGAAATCTTTTTGGATATATAGTTATCCACTGTAAGTAGATAAGGTTTACTAATGTAAGTCATGTAACATGTCTAAGTAGGGCAAGCATATACAAACCTTCAAGTATACATGCATGATGAAACTTGATAATTTCGTTGAATGTTGTAGCTCACCAAGGAATTTTTGATTGCTCTTACGTTGACATTGTTCTGGAGTGAAGCGAACAGATGACCATAGGGACACGTACCTCCTAATTACCTGGTGATATCAGCCCCCGTCTCGGTTGAGTGTCGGCTAGTGGGCTGTAATGTGGATAGCCTCTATTACTTTACTCACAAATTTTAAGTAATCCAGTTGTGTGTCCAATATCTGTACTTTGTCCAAGGTGATGAAATGTCCCAGTGATTTGATGTGTTACGCCTTGACATGATATGACTCTATATTGTGAAAGTATCAAGTACAAAAGTATAGAATTTTATCATTATGATGGTATATATCAACACAAATGAGTCTCTGTAGTTTGGCTTATTGATATTGCAATATATACTTCAACTTTGTCAGAGGGTACAACCAAATAAGTCACAACCCATGTAATCTTAGACAATCTTAGGCCACACCAATTTAATTTGTTGGTTCTCGGATTCGCCTGAACAAACAAAAGATGCTCTATCATTATCGCCATCGCCGCCATTCAAGAAACCCTGTCAGTGACAACATAATGAGACAAACAGGTGTGACTGTAATGAATGTATGCACCAGGTGTGAATGTTGGAAGCCAAGCTCTGGATGGCGTCCCCTCACAGATACATAATCCGTCATAGACATATGGATACATTGTTACATAGCTATGGTATGTCAGAATCACAACATTTCAATACATGTATAAAATATGTGATGTTTTAATAAAGATTGCTGATGCCATTAAATTTGTGCAGATATGGTTCAATGACAATTTTACCAACTTATTTGGTAGTATCAAAACAACATCTTCTATTCCTTGCTTAAGTTTTCTTTATTCTATACTGGCTGTGGGGTTAGAGTGGCGAGATTGTTAGCATTTTGTTCTTTGTAAGGCCACACTGATTTAATTTTTATGGATGACATCTGCGCACACAATAATTTTCCCCTGCTCTAAAAAAAATCCTCCGGGGCCCTGCCATCTGTCGTAATCCATTGTAGCTACCAACAATAGGAAAACGGTGGTAACTACGGAGGATGGTACCCAGGCTGCCGAAGCTCTACAGAATTGGAGAACTGATAGTACAGTGCACTGGTGCCGACTTGTAATGCTACAAAAGGCCAGCATGTACCGGCTTGTAGTAAAACTTGTTACGCAGAACCACAAATTCACAATATAAATATACCAGCTTTGTATTCCTGTGGTTTATCAGCATTCGTTTTGGCTGGACTTTTTTTTTATTTGCCTGTTTGAATTAGTTTTAGGGCTTCAGAGGATGTCATCCATAAAATTAAGTCAGTGTGGCCAAGAATAACAAGAACATACATGTACAGCTTGTGGCTTCTATTACTTGATGTCCATGGGTTAGACCTAGTATCAATTACTTAATCCATGACAGTCTGCTTTTGACTGTTGTGGTCACAAACATTCTACAGTCGAGTGCATTACGTGATACTGTAATTTACTAGTGTAATTCACTTTGTATTCATGGTAGCAAATTTCAAAGCCTGAGGAAAATGAACATGTTCACAGAACTTAGTCTCCATGGTGACAGAAGATGGAGAGGGGGGCAAAAGACAAAATGAATAATTTGACATCTGATTCAGTAATCATATGTTTACGGTACAGATATAACTGTGGAAACAGTGAACATAAAAGTGCCATGACAATGAGGAATTACAGTATCCATTCAGTATTCTCATCTTCTCTTGCCTCGCATTTTTCCAGACTGTTTAGAGTTTGAGTTGATTTTTCTGGAGTCTTTCTTCATACGAGGGTCTACAACTCTGTATGGGCCCTTCAGCCCAGCTGGTCTCTTGGGCCTCTTTGCTGCATTGAATTTCCTGGCCACCACATAGGTCTTCTCTGGCTTCTTCTTACCAAGTGCACCAGCTTTTTTGTACAGCCTGAAAAAAAATTAAGAAATTTTACTACCCGGGTATATGATTTTACTTATGATAAATACAATTTATGGTTGATGTTTCTTAATGCCAATACAAACTGTAAGGTTGATTTAGATGTGACAGATTTTACCTTGTAAGCAGTACATGCCCTCTGCTGAAACATATGAAAACTGCACTGCAAGAATACATGCACACACGCACACCCTTGCACACACACACACACACACACACACACACACACACACACACACACACGCACACAGTCACTCGCACACAGTCACTCACTGACACCTACTGACACTCACTCACTCACTGGTACACGCACAAACATGCCCAAACTATATTTTACTTCTCATCTTGAAAGTTAATCTTTGTTGATAGAAGTCATTTTCAAGCCAAGTTTAAACTATAGTTTCCAACACAATGTACCCAAATTTTCGACTGTGTTACAACTTTTTTAAAGCATGCACACATGTACACACACCATACTATGTACAGCCCTCAGTAAATGTAAATGCAGATACATGCCTGTACACGTTCATGTGTATGGGAACTTACTGTTTAATTTGCTGCACTTTTTCTTTGTCAGACATGTCTCCACTCTCTGTAATAGCCTCAGCTTTTTTCTTGGCCTTCTCCAGTCTCTTCAGTGCCTTGAAAGTACAGAGTGTATAGAGGCATGTTGAAGATGGGTACATTGAACCAATTATGAAAACAGATTCCGCATGTACACAATGTATATCTATAATGTTCTTATTTGCATTTGCATGGATACGTGCATGTATATGTGCAAAGAGGGCATGTTTAAGAAACAATATATTCCCAGTAATACGATAAATTCTACTTCAGAAACTTTCTAATATCTACATGTAAACATTCTTAAAATCAAATATATTTTCCTATGTTACATATAGTATGTATGGTATGCCAAGCCAGGCAGGGGTTGTCATTTTGCACATCCACTGCAATTTCAGGGCAGCAAAACAAAAACAAATATTCTGGATGAGGAAATCTGCCTTATATTGACATTGTCTTACATTGACTTTGACATTTTTTGTCACCTTTTTGTCATTGTTTCATACTTGAAGCAATGGAATTTTTACTGATCTTAATGCAAAAGTATGCCGTGTTTGTTGCTACTGACTTTGCTAATTAAAAAGGCAAATAGTCAGAGCCAATACATGGTGTTATTTGCTTGCAAAGTATAGTTCTATATAAGTTATTTATTGTTTTGTCAAAAAACAGAATTTTGCCAAAAATAATGCCCAGAAAAATACAACCTTTGCCAAGCAGTCACACAACTGCTACATACTAGGAACATATCAAAGCTTTACAAAACTGACCTGAGTAAAGCAACGTCAACACTGCTGTCGTTAGCAAAACTACAAAAACATGTGAATTTAGGACACACTTGTCTAGCGTCGGCCATTCACGAAGGTACATTTTGTAAAAACATCTCACAGCGTTTCCCGCTTGTTGCGTGAAAGGTGAACGGCTCATGAACAGTATGGGTGAATTTCTTACTGAACTATGTTCTCTACAAAAATGTTCCAAAAATTCATTCATCAAAACCTGACCACTCTGACAACTAGCGACAGAATGCTGTGAGTTTGAGCATGTGAAAAAGCGTCTGATGTTAGGGCACACCCCGTTTAAGTTTAAAATTGCTTTACAATCCATTGAGATAAATGTTAGAATAGGAGATAATAGAGTCAATTCGGCGTCACCGTGTGGGTTTTTTCTCCATGTCTCTAATACGTTTGAATTATTTAGAAGAAAAGAGTACCCCAGTAACAAAAGTTCTAAATTTTTCAAGAATTTGAAAATGAAAATTTGAATATCTTTGAATTCATTTATATATTTCTGAAACATTTTGAAAGTGACTGTACAAAGATCTCTTTATTTAGAATAAATTTGAACTACCCATGGGTTTCTTTCACTATTCAAAATATTTAGAAATATTTCAAACAAATAACCAAATGGTAGATGTGGGTAATTGCCCCCATAAAAGTAGGTGCTAATCCTACTCTTCTGTATTCTTCTGTATATTTTTAGATTTCACTGCTGGACACTGGTGGCTCTTTTGTTGTAAGGCATCAATGCCTGACACCCAGGCAGTCTACCCTGTACTTCACAGGGATGTGTGAATTACTTCCTTCCCATCCCACTGACCTATTTACAAAATGTTAGAAATAATTTGAAATAATGGTAAAAAATGGTACAGTGCTGTTAGAAATATTTAGAAACTATTGGAAATGTCATAATCCACATCAGGAATATTTCTAACATTTTAGAAAACCAGGGAATTATTTAGAATATTGACAAGATGTTCAAAATATTTCCAAATTATGAAATTTCTTAGACAAACAATTACAAAGAATTCAAAACATTTCTAAATAATGACAATAACAACCCACACGGTGACGCGGAATTGACTCTAGCCTCGTGTGTAGTTTTACACATAAAGTTCATTCATTTTCCTACTGCAGAGACAGCAACAGTGTAGGACATCATGTAAAATGTATTACCTTCCTCTTCTTCCTTGCCTTGGCCTCTGCTACCTTCTTGACTGGGCGAGCGTTGATGGCCCTCAACTTCTCCCTGTACTCAGCAACCATGTCCTGACAAACAGTGCAAACAAAAATTGGAAGTACATGTACTGTCTTTGGATGTGAAGAGTTTTTTTAGAGCTGGCTGGAGGACGGAGGGGAGCAAGGGGCCAGTACCTGGCCTGTGCATAAGGGGGCACACCCCAGTTTATTTTGGGTCTCAATTCGATTCTGCATACCCTCAACTCTAGCGACCGTCTCTTTCAGGAAATATCTCTTAAGCCAAAACACTCTGTTTTCAAATGAAGGATATCCCTCTAGCTACGAGAACAATAGAATTTCAATTTCTTTCCCCTCTCACATTTTACTAAATTTTAGGGGGAAAAAGAATTTTTCGATGAAAAATGATGCCAAAAATTGGCCATTTTCACATGGAATTAAACCCATCACCCAGATTTTAGCCACCGATATGACTTATATGGTCGGAAAGAGAAAACCCTTATGTATTATTAAGAAAAGTATAAAGAAAATCCTAACACTGAGATTATCACAATAGCGCGTCGCGCGAGGCATAGCTACAGCACCCCCAGAACGCATACAAGGCAAAACTAGGTCAAACCGAAGCACCGCGCTCAGGGCGGAAGGACACCCGGAAGTAAGCCTCGGGCCCGAAATCAATTTTCACCCAAAACACGCCACTTCTTACACTTTCCAGCCATGTTAGTAGTTAATCCCATTTTGCAGCAGATTATGAGAAATGTAAACTCAAACATGAACAACCGGAACCCCTTCGTCACTTTTTTTCCGGGCACTACAGTGGACCCCTGTCGCGGAAGAATTGGTGTGTGCACCGTTAATTAATCAAAATCTTAATTAATATTGTCTTTGGGTAGAAGAAGTTTTCCTCTATGCATTATGCCAAGTTTGGGTTGTGGGCGGTATTTCCTTCTTGAGTAACAGGTGGTTGAAAGTTACCGCCCCCGAAGGCTGATTTTGCGCCTCCCGCCATGTTTACCATTCAGTGCACATAATGAATCTGACGTCACAATGATCGCATCCTCTCGAAGCGGTTTTTGTTATTAATTCAAGCTCAATGAACAAGTCTTGCCATGGAAAAGATAGGTACAGGGATGCTCTTGCGCAAGAGTTGACTTTCCATCCATTTCTGGCTGGTATAGGTGGTATAAACCGCCTAGAACGTATTTGAGCTGGTGACGTCACAATGCCCGCCTCTGGCTGATCGTTCCAAGTGAGAACGATTGCGTTTTAAGTTCGGCGCTTCAACGGAAAGCAGATAAAATTGCTATTTTCAGTCATAGCTGGTAGAGAATAAACCTGGCATTCCTGTCCAAGCTTGTCCGCTCCCGAGATATAGTTTGTTGTGCAGGAAAACCCAGCTAAATATTGAATCATTGGTAGAAACGGAGACCTGGTCCGTACTTCTGGCGACTACGGAGGTATAAATGGGCATTTACTGAGAGAAGGCTGTACACTTGGGTGTCGGTCTCGGTGAGATATAAAAGCCTTACATTGTGTCTTCTCAATAGTGCAACTTATTTGTCTGAACATTCAAAACTAGTTCGAGCACGAACTGGAAACTTGATTCGGGAGGAAAGCCAAGAGTGACGTCATCAGAGGCCCTTTTTACTAGAAAACAGTCTCCTTCTTAATGCGGGAGTCGCTTTCAATCGTACAAATGCAATTTCCAGGTGCACCTGATGCAGACCAGTACAGAAAAACTATATTACGGTTAATATGACGTCAGTAATGTTTAGCATACACACTTCGAAGGCCTTGTGACTGTGTTCGGGGGGGGGGGGCGTGGGGAGGGGGGCAAAGTCAACTCATTTTATGACATTATATAAATATTTTAAAACTTGCGAAATCCGAATTATTTTTGCTATGGTTGGACGTGGGGTACGCACTTTACTGGGAAAAAAAAATTCTCCGGCTTTCACGGCCACAAATTTTTGCAGGATGGGTTGGATTAAGGGGGCACACCCCAGTTATTTGGGTCTCAATTCGATTCTGCATACCCTCAACTCTAGCGACCGTCTCTTTCAGGAAATACCTCTTAAGCCAAAACACTCTGTTTTCAAATGAAGGATATCCCTCTAGCTACGAGAACAATAGAATTTCAATTTCTTTCCCCTCTCACATTTTAGTAAATTTTAGGGGGAAAAAGAATTTTTCGATGGAAAATGATGCCAAAAATTGGCCATTTTCACGTGGAATTAAACCCATCACCCAGATTTTAGCCACCGATATGACTTATATGGTCGGAAAGAGAAAACCCTTATGTATTATTAAGAAAAGTATAAAGAAAATCCTAACACTGAGATTATCACAATAGCGCGTCGCGCGAGGCATAGCTACAGCACCCCCAGAACGCATACAAGGCAAAACTAGGTCAAACCGAAGCACCGCGCTCAGGGCGGAAGGACACCCGGAAGTAAGCCTCGGGCCCGAAATCAATTTTCACCCAAAACACGCCACTTCTTACACTTTCCAGCCATGTTAGTAGTTAATCCCATTTTGCAGCAGATTATGAGAAATGTAAACTCAAACATGAACAACCGGAACCCCTTCGTCACTTTTTTTCCGGGCACTACAGTGGACCCCTGTCGCGGAAGAATTGGTGTGTGCACCGATAAAGGCAGGTAGGTAGTTTATTTAGGTTGGTATAAGTTACTGAGTAAAGAGACTCTTTTTACACAACCAAGTGTTTTAGCCAACTTCTCGGTGACCGTCTGTCACCTTCCTCAGGGCAATTCTGACTGGTTCACATTGCACTGAAGCACGGTGTTGCTGCTATAGATGCATTCCAAAACGTACAATATTTACACATATACATGGTTAGTACACTGGTTATACAGGGAACTGTGTCTACAAGGCAGTCCCAAACATACGGGACTTGGATATATGCATAATACAGACAGAGAGAATAAAATGAATTGGGGGAGCATACAATGTACTTTAATCAGGAATTTAATAACAGTTATAATAATAGGTACAAAACTACAAAATTGTTCATCTGTAAAAAGTCCTTATCCTTATTATCATTCTAATTTCTTTTAGCACCTGCAGCCTAACATGCCCTGAATGGGATCTGTATAATACATGTACAAGTAAACTATGTAATGACCAGTAGAGTCATGTACCTTGGTGACTGGTAGTTGCTTCTTACTGTGTTTGACTTCATCCTTCACAAACCAGTCAGGCAGACCTTCATCATCAAAGGTGTATCTGCAATAAATCATTGTGAATATAGGTACACTTGTTGCTCTACTCATTTTGGCTGTCCAACTAGCACGGGGCAATTATTAAGGGCAAAAAATAGGCTAGTAAAAGACAGGGGTTCGCTAGGCCTCCATCCCAGTTATTTGTAGACAGTGAATCATCAACTTCAGACTGTGAATTTGGACCATCGCACAACATTCTTACATCATACATGTACTTCAAGCTTTAATCCAACAAAGAACTGTGGAGGATGGTTGCTAAGTTTGCTAGGTCAATCTTTGGCTAGGCTATTATGATTTCATTTTTCATTTTCCTTCATATAATTTATATAGGGTTGCCCACTCAATGGTAACACTGCTTTTCAGTGGGGCCCTGTAACATGATAACATTTCTATTTAATGACAATTTCTTGTTTTAATCGGTGATTGTAGGAAATATACATCTTGATTTGGGTCAAAACACCATTGATCCAATAAACTGCATGGCCAAACCTTACCTGTTAAACGCCCAGTCAACAATGTCCCTTCTTCTCTTCTTGGATGTAGAAATCAGTGCCCCCAGGGCAAGTCCCTCGGGGTCCAGTTTTCTCTTAGTTCTTTCTAGGGAATTAGACAAGGCAAAGTTGGCTTTAGGGTACTACATGTACATGTAATGTAGACTTTTTACTGCTGCATACATGTATATTGCACCCGTGCACCACAGTTTGGTATTTGGGGATAAAATCTAACCCCCTACAGTGGTTTTTTTCAGGCAATGGCCTATTTTTCATGAGGATCAACGAGAAATCGTGATGGGTTTGGCCTGTTTATTAGACAGCATGACAATCTTTGCGAAATGTAGAATGCCAATGGCTGGGTCAATGTGGCAGTCTATTGTAAACTGGGTGGAAAATACAGCAGTTGCTAATTCTTACCTACATGTACCCCCAAATGATATTTTTCTGCTCCTTACCTGCATGATGTTCAGACACAACCTCAAACCCATCTTGTCTTGGTTTGTTGACAGGGGCTTGAACAGTTGTAGTTTGGCCAGTGTTTCCTATAGTCTCATCAACATCATAGTCACTGGCTGTCGGAACAACACAAACAAATATGGAGGATCAGCATGAAAGTTCATCTGAGTTGGTAAATTACATTATGAAAAACTTAAACTGTTCTCCAACTCAAAACCAGGACGGGGGGCGATATCGACTTCAGACAACCTTTGACCCTTTGCTGATGTCACACGTGGGAAAAATCACGTGTCCACAGCATTTGCATGGGTCAGATAGCTGAGGAAGACTGAGTGATTCAGTCGAAAATATTTGGTGAGTCAAATTTTGAGTTGGAGAACAGTTTAAGTTTTTCATAAAATATGGAGGATTTCAGCCAAGAAAACAGCTAAGGCCACAATAGGCCACCCACCAACTCAAATTGCTGGTTCTTAGAAGCAACAGTGTGAAATTAAAAATAAAAACAAGTCTAGGCACCCCATGATAGCCAGAAATGTAAATACAATAGGAGCCATAAAGTCAACATACATACTATTAGTCATGTACAATGAATATACTGTATACAGACTGAGTTATACAATGTATATTCGTACAGTCACTTTTTAACTTTTAATGAAACAACTGCATTTATAGATAGAAAGGAAGATGAATAGTATTTTCTTGAAATGTTGGGGAAAAATATGACAAATTTGGAGTTGATTCAGAACCTAAAGTCTCTTTTTCTCCATTACAAAATGTATACTTAGAGAAAAATTAAAACATGTTGTAAACAGTTGAAAACATTTTGAAACATTGGGCTGGTTTCTGATCTGGTCACAACCCCAGCTGACCACAACACCAGCTGACCACAGCACCAGCTGACCACAGCACCAGCTGACCACAGCACCAGCTGACCACAGCCGACCTTGCTCCTGACCTACTCCTAACTATGGTTGGGGGGGGGGGGTTGGCAGTGTTTGGGAAGCCATATTCGGATATGTGTGACCAATGACTAGTGTCCTTGGTGTGACAGGAGCTACATGTATATATACCTTCTGAATCACTAGCAGAAGTGTCTGTATCACTTGACCCAGTCATCTCTCGCTCAGAGTCAGGTTTTTCTCCTCTGGATTCTGCCTCCTTACTTCCCTCATCATGTTCTGTAGAATAAACAGATAAAAAATCATTGTTAAGCTAAGCCTTACATAATTGATTTAGTAACACCTGAAAGTACTATCAACATTACTGATAAGTTAAATGTGCATAGAGTATATAGTGGCTAAGTTTGAATGGGTAATACAACTTATACAAATTGTAAATTAAATCAAATATCTTCCTAGTACTACATTTTACATTGAACAAACTTAAGTAAAAAAAGGGTTCATGATCATTTAGTACTTATTCTAAACCACAAGCCTTTTGTCAACATGACTTAAACATACATGTAACACTCATATAAACATGTAAGACTTAGAGTAGATTCTAATATACATTGTACATGTATGTACGTTGTATGTAAGTACAGTTAATTTGAAATTGTTGAAAATACCAGTAATCTTGTCATCCTGTTGTTTCATGTTTTCCAAATCATCTTCATCATCATCATCCTCATCATCAGAGGCCACCCCAGCAAAAATGTCCTGGAATTCAAGTCATTAAATAATCAAATCAATGGTTTCTGATTCCTTATAATAATATAAACATCTTTTATTTATTCATGAAGATTTACCACATTTGTGGGAGGATTGACATAACAGGTGACTATCACCTCTTCAAAGATGTCAACCCGGAGACCAGACTGTTAGGTGACTGTGAACCACTCACACTGGAAAGGTCCCCTACTTTTTTTTGATAACTCTGTTGGGATTTTTAACACACTTGGGACATTGACAGGACCTCTGGCTTTACATTCTATACCAGGGACATACCTGACTGAAGCTACAAGATTTTGGGTGCACCATATAAGGTAAAGTAAAAATGTCAGCAAAAACTAAGTGTTATAACAATGATTTTATTATTTGTCTAACACTTGGATATTAAGAATATGCTGTATACTACAATATATTTAACATCATAAGACGTAGTATAATCTACGAAAAAAGTTGGGTGCACTGGTGCGCCCACATAAAAAAATTGGGTGCACAGCTCCAAATTTGGGTGCACTATGGTGCACATGCACCCAGTATTTTGAGCCATGATTTAGTTACATGTATGTGTTAGCTACATGTTAACGTCCCTACCTTGCTGAACCACCTGTCTGTTCTTGCCATGGCCCTTCTGTCCAGGTCTGCTGACTCCAAGTCAACCAGCAGAGGATTCTTTAACTCAATATCTGCTCCGCTACATGATTGTGGTAAAAAGGAAAAACTTTCAAAAACTTAGAAAAGTAAAAGGGATAAAAATCTTGCAATCCTGCAAGAAGAACTGGGTAACCCTGCAAGGCTTTGACGCATCACAAAGTTTGTATTCAGTACAATACTTGACAATGTATGTCATACCAAATTTCTTCATTAACTGTTGTACTATTAATTTAAAAAAAAAAAGTTGGATGTGAATATACATGTGGCAGTCAAAAAGCTACTACTAAATGAACAGTTCAACACTTATCACAAAATCATTACATTCCATGAACTTAAAACATCAAATACAATCTTATAACTCACTGTCACTCAATCACAATCATATAAATGAGAAGTTTTTTACCCAATATCAAAGTCATCGTCCCCAGCAGCACCAGGCTGTTCCAACTCCTCTTCAACTTCTTCTGCCTTTGCGATCTCCAGGTCGTCAGAATCTGGCTCGCTGTTCAGATCTGGATCTCGCTGGATCAGAGGATCTGGCTCCTCCTCGTTCTCTGACTCAGAACCGATGTCGTCCAGGGCAGTAGTGAGGTGGGCATCACCCTGCACACCAGCTAGCTCCTGACACAGGACACGGCATGGACAGGCTTGGTCTCTTTCACAAACATAATTCATACATCTGACACAACAAAACTATAATTATTTAGTAGACTGTTTTTGATTGTATTCTGACGTCACTCACACTTATTTTGTACCTGTACTGATTTGCAACCTTTCTAGTCCCACAGATAAATACAGAAGCACTGCCAGTAGCTGTATAGTAATGCTGCATTGTGTACATGTACAGACATGCATGAATGCATGTATGCATGCACACACATGTGCGCACACTCACACTGCAGGCACACACATCACAGATGTACACTGTCATAGTCTCATACACATAACACACACACATACATTGTACTCACACACAGACACAAAAACATATTAGACTAAGTTACACATACAGGAACTCACTATCTGTCAGACAGACTCACAGGCAAACACAATCAGGGGATTTTCTAGAAACATTTTGTGTGAGGATGCAGATCACTAGCATGGAGAGGGAGGAAGCGACTGAGCTGGGGGCTGGCACAGGATTCGGAATCTTTACTAGTAGCAAAGTTTGTATTGCAAGAATGCATTCTTCTGACATTTTGTTCTCCAATTTTCCACTGGAAAAAGATCATTTTGAAAAAGACTTAATGTTGTGTCATAATAATAATAAGCCACATAGGGTTCAATCTGAAAATTGATATGGGGGTGCTGGCTGGTTACATGAGGGAGCAACACTTTTATTTCTTCTTCTTCCGTTAATGTCCGGCTGCCGTCACTCCGACAATTACTGACATGTTTAACGGGTCAAAGGTCACCATATACTAATATGTGATTTAGGCAAGGTTTGACACCTTCGAAGCGAAGGTCGCCAGGGATGGAGACTGTACAATGTCTTCAGGCAGTGAGTTCCAGTCTCTGATCGTTCGGGGGAGGAAGGAGTAGAAGCGGTAGTTCGTGCGGCAGGGCAGCTGCTGGTACTGCTGACTGTGTCCTCTGCGGCGCCTTGTGTTACTGGCAGGTAGGGGGTTCAGTGAGTCACAACTCACACAGGCAAGACCATGCTGCATTTTGTACAACATGGCTAGTCTGCTGTTACGGTGTCGAGCCTGGAGGGGCAACCACTGGAGCTGGTCTATCATTGCAGAGACACTAGACGTGTTTCTGTAACGGTGAAGTACAAAGCGTGCAGCTCTGCGCTGGATCTTCTCAATTTTGAGGATATCCTGGTTGGTGTGAGGGTCCCAGACGCAGCTGGCGTACTCTACGATCGGTCTAACCAAGGCTTTGTACGCCAGCTCTTTGGTCTTGCTAGATCCCACTCTCAGATTTCTTCTCAAAAAGCCTAGCATCTTGTTGGCTTTAGAGCATGTATTCTCAATGTGTTTACTAAAGGAGAGATCTGTCTGTAAAGTAATTCCAAGATACTTGGCAGAGGGCACGCGCTCTAGGGTGTGATTATGCAGCATGTAACTGGTGTTGGCAGTGGGTGGGTTTCTGGCTCGTGTCAAGGGCAGTTGTTGACACTTATCTGGATGGAAGGCCATGTCCCACTCTCTTTCCCAGTCTTCTAGCTTGTTGAGGTCTGCTTGTAACTCTAACGAGTCCTTGGAACAGGTGAGCAGGCGGTAAACGGCAGTGTCGTCTGCAAAAAGACGGGAGGTAGAGGAGATTCTCTTCGGCAGGTCGTTAATGTAAGTAATGAAAAGGCACGGTCCCAACACCGTGCCCTGTGGGACGCCCGATCTCACATTCACAGAACTTGACTGGACACCATTTACTACTACAGCCTGCTTGCGGTCACTGAGAAAACTCGCTACCCACTTATTTATGCGTCCTCTAATCCCGTAGTGGTCTAGTTTGTGTACGAGAAGACTGTGATTCACCCGGTCGAAGGCTTTTTGAAAGTCCATGATGATCACATCTGTTGCAACACCTCGCTCCATGGCTGAAGAGACTTCTTCAGTAAACTCAAGGAGCTGAGTCTCACAGGAGCGGTGCTTGCGAAAACCGTGCTGCTGTGTCGATAGAATGTTGTTCAGTTCAAGGTGACTCATTATAGCACTGACTAAGACGTGTTCGAGGATTTTGGCAGGAACACTGGTTAGGGAGATAGGGCGATAGTTGGACGCCTTGTAGTGCTCTCCCTTCTTGAACACCGGGGTTACCAGTGCTTCTTTCCAGTCTTGGGGTACTTGGCCTGTATTTAATGACGACTGGTAGATTATGGTGAGAATAGGGGCTAGTTCTTTGGCAAGTTCTTTCAGTACACGTGGAGTGATGCCATCTGGGCCAGCTGCTTTGGTAGGATTCAGACTGGCCAAGAGTTTCTCGATGCCACCGGAGCTGATCGTGATGTCGTCCATAGAGGGGTAGTCTTCACGTGAGTCAGGCAGTGAGCACCGGGCTTTAAACTCTGAAGCTGTATATGTGGCACCTTCACTAAATGCAGTTTTGAAAAAAACCCTGACAATGCTTGCACTCCTTATGGTTGAAGTAATGAATATAGAATAGGTGACATACAAGTACATGACATTGTATGGAAACTATACCTGTTTTCTATGAATGCGCTGCAAATTGAAGAGTGGCCTCTCTTCCTGAAAGTCGTGTTTGTCATCCAATACATCCATTTTCAGCACCATACGCTCTTGTAGCTTCCGACGTTCTTTTTGAACCTCCTTCTTCTTCCTATGACCCAAAAAAGACAAATACACAATATACAATACATTCATGAGGGCTCAAAATACTGGGTGCATGACGCTTTTCTTTAGAAATGAAATATGATCAGTTTTTGCTGACATTCTACTTAATTTATCCTATATGGTATACCCCACAAGTGCACCTGTTCTCAAAAATGAATTTCGAGCCCTGTACATGTACATGTGCTACATGTACATGACATTGTGTACCTATAGTTCACATACAATACATGTACATGCAGCTATAATATATCAATAATTGGTAGTCAAAGAATTATTGTCCCAGTCACATGTGCACAAAACATTAGCTCAAACTATATGTATACATGTATGATTGCACTGCTGTAAATAATGTACATACATGTACACATACAGTCTAACACATCAACTTTCTTTAGATCCTACTGTTTATTATGTACATTGTACATTTAGGCATGCGCATAGGGTTAGTCCTATCACAAAATTGTCAGACATAGATTGAAAAAAGCTTTGAAATGTACAGTAGAATGTGAAAGTAGCCATTTTGTCTCTAGATCTAGAACAAGACTACCATTGATGTTTTTTTGATCAATCAAAAAGTTTTTAGAGGTTCCAAAATTTACATTAAATTTCACAGGATGCACAGTGAAAATGCGATTTGTTTCCTCAGAGGAACAAAATGCCTTTAATACAATGTAGTCACAGAAACAAGCACTCCTGCAGTCCTTATAAGCTGCAGCATACATGTACATGTCCTCATTATGTACAACAGATTTTGCCAAACCTGCAGTTTAGAGCAACCCTGTACGTGGTAGTTATCTTGTGGTTGCGCTACTTGTCTGGCCACAAGACCGCGCTAACTGTGATATCACTGCTGGCTATATATGTCGTTATTTGTTGTCTCGAATCAATAACTCTGACAATGTTAATAAGTTGACTTGCCTTGTAATCCTAAGTTTATTCATTTGTTTCTCAAATTGTATTATGTGATTTGATTACTTTTTGTATTGTTTTGTCATTTTATTGGTATGTCGGCTTTGAAAAGGTGTTTCATGTCAGAAACACCTGTTTCGCCATGTCATCCACAGTGCATATTGTACATGGTAAAACTTAATAAATAAATAAATAAATAAACATGTACCTTTTGAGTTGTGCTGCCTCCTCTCGCTGCAGCTGGCTCAACTGCTGGTCTAACTTGAGCTCCTCCTCCTCTTCACCAGACTCCTGGGGTGAGCTGCAGGGAAGGTCATCATGTCAGGTAACATGTACAGCTGTCAGATCCACAGTAACTTCTCATCTATACGCCTGCACTTTGTAATCATAAGTAGCTGTTGCAAAATGCCATACATGTACATTTGTAGTTCTTGATAATGCATGCAAAAGCAGGGCTTGAAATACTGGGTGCATGTGCACCTTAGTGCACCCAAAATTGGAGATGTGCGCCTAATTTTTTTCTGCAGGTGCACTGGTGCACCCAAATATTTTTGCTGGTATCTTAAGTTTGTACATATGAAATGTATATATTAATAGTATACAGGATTTTCTTGGCATCAAAGTGTCAGAAAAATAATAAAATCTTTGTTATAGAAATTGTTTAAGATCGTAACTTCTATATATATAGATTTTCTTTTATATGGTGCACCAAAAAAATTTTTTGGGCACCTATTTTTTTAGGTTGGGTGCACCAGTGCACCTACTCCGAGAAATGAACTTGGACTTGAAGCCATGCAAAATCTGCGAATACTTGTTTAAATTGCGTCCATTTCATGTGTAGATGTTTGTGTAATCGTTTCTGGTTATGTGTTATATATAGTCATGTGTGATTGCAGTTAATTAGCACATGCTGTTTTTTCACCGCTTTCAACTAGCTGAAGATTCTGCTGCCTTCATGTGGCTAAAACAAGATGGGGTTTGCCAGGCCTCCATCCAGGAAAGTCGTGTGAAGTGCCTTTCCCAAGGGCACAACATCAGTGACATGGCAGGGTTCTGAGCCGAACACTCTGCCGTTATGCCACACAACCCCACGGTCTAGTCCAGGTCATTGAGCTTATATGTATAGAGAAGAAATTGAGAAAAAATTATATGTTTTCCTTCTGCAAACAGGAAAAGGATTTTCATGCACCTTTGCTCTGGTTCTTCTGAGGACTGCAACACCTCTTTCATCTTTTTCCTCCATCTTAGAAGCAACCTGAAATGAAAGGACAGGATTTAACCCTACTTGTTTGCCTCCTAGGGCCAGGGGTGGGGGTGGGGTGACTCCTAAGCTACATCTATATCAGTTTGTGACTGTTATATTAAAATTTAATCATTGTAACATCTTTGGTGTCATTTAATAGTAATAATGTGATTTTGTTGGCTGAAATCATTGCTATTAACTATACAAAATACACTCGGCTATTCCGAGATCAGGGTGCGCCAATGGCATCGTGCATCGTTATGTCAATCTTACTCTGTATTTATCGCATTCTGTTGACATTTATCAAACTTGTTATACTAGTGCAGTTATTTTCCAGACAATCAGGAAGAGATTTGGTGTTAAGATGTTTAAAACTTATGCTATGGCCAATTTAAGACCAGAAATTGGCATAAAATCTACGTTATGCTGTTGCACTTGAAAAATGCCAGTTTTTGAAATATGCTTTTAAGTAATTTGGGAACAAAAAAATGGAATGAAAAGATTTGCAATATGTTCAGACATGCTCAGTCTGATATTGTTTGCAAAAAACCTGATGATGATTGGAAATTTCTCTTTTCTAGAGCGTATTTATCAATATGTTGTACACGTTATGTAAAATTCATAAATTAACACATTGCAACTAACTTATCTCCCTGTACTAAAAAGGATGGTGATAGAACTGGCCATTTTGCATGTTATGCAAGGTACATCCATATATGACACAAAACATGTGTTTTTATGTTGCTTGTCCTTTGGGTTAATATGGCTGATGGCTTACAGTTACCTGTCTTTTTTGTCCGAGAAAATGTGTAGTGTCCGTTGCTCGGTAATAACTTAAAATAGAAAAGCTGTGGGTGCATATGATTTCAGGTTTTGAAACAGCTGAAGATGCTGACTTAAAACACAGTAGCTATTTCAGTCTATTGCTGTAATTATATGAAATAATGTCAAAAAACCTCAAGGGTGTAGTGTCCGTTGCCATGTAGTGTCCGTTGCCAAGTATACCATATAGGTACATTAATTACATTTTGTTGCAATTTTGAAGTAATTTTTTCATTTATGTTATTTCTGTAGCATTTTGTCAACCCCTAAATGACAGGTCTTGCAAGATTTGGTGTTCTTGTCATGTACTTGAGCGGCCAGATGTGGCCGGCAACGGACACTACAGCTTAGCTGTAGTGTCCGTTGCCGGCCACATCTGAAATGAGTGGGCTAAAGTTTGGAAGAGCACAACTTTTGAACTGAACGTCTCTATCCAAAATTTTAAAAGTAGCACTGTATGGTTAACACTTCTAGTGCGATTTTCTGCAACTGAAAGTAGAAAAATATAAAACTTGAAAAATTGGTCCAAGTGCAACCCTTTGGCGCACCCTGATCTCGGAATAGCCGACTGAAAGTTCAACAAAGACAGTGCCCTAGAGAATATTTTTCTTCAAGGATTTCAAATTCTGTTGTTGAGGTCGCATAACACAGTAATAATGGGTGAACCCCAGAGTCAAAAGTAGTGCTGCATACCGGTTCACTGGACTTGGATCCGGACTTATAAGAATGTTTAGGTTCAAGTCCAAAAAAAACCTAAAACTCAAGAACCGAGTCCGTACTTATTACCATAAAAGATGGTAAAGAAAGTACCCCTTTTCTTTCCAAACCACCTAAAACCTTCCGTAGATTGCAAAATCTTTGCTGTAAAATGAGGAAAACATTGCCATCGGGCATCGTCAAGTGTCGGCCTCCATGTTATGTGGCCAAAGTTTCACCCAGACAACATTGCAAGGTTGCCAACATGCAATTTTGTATATGCCATGGGTTTAGGGAACCTACTCTCACCTCTCGAATAAAAGTACCCCCTGGAATAAAAGTACCCCCCGGACAAATCTTCAAAATGTAATAAAAGTACCCCCTGGAATAAAAGTACCCCCCGGAAAATTTTTAATTGACATGTGAAAGCAATGTTTATGCTACTAAAATGTGTTCTCATGGTGTACATGTATGTTTCCCTTGCAAACACAGGTCCCAAATAAACATACCCCCGGAAAAAAAGTACCCCCGAGAAATCTTCAAAACCTAATAAATATCCCCCCCCCCCAGAATAAACATACCCCTGGAAAATTACCAAATTATCAGCCTGCATTCTTACAGGTTAATGAGAAGTACATGCCTTTGTATATGTCGTGCAGTCTAATGACATTATCCATCTACATTCTAACTTGAGATCTGACTCTGAGTTCACACAATTTGTTGTTGATCATTACATTGCATGCATGCATTGAGCAGGAACAATGCTATCAAGTTTTGGGATAAGAGTCCTTGATTTTTTAAGGTTAAGAAAAATTACATGAATAGAGTTTGAAGTTGAACAGAAATTTACAATATGCTAAATACATGCTCTATACAAATTTGCATTAATGTGTAAAAAGACATAGGGAAAAGAATCAAATATAGAATATAATGTTAGATTTTGAATGGTATTTCATTTTTATACCTTTAAAAAAAACTTCAATCAGTTTTCAAACAATTGACACAATCCACAAGTCACACACAAAGTTCACACGAGAATAGCAACAATTCGGACTGCCACAATCTCAAGGGTCTCAGGTTTCACTTACAAAATGTAGCAAGCTTTGAAGTTTGTGTTAGTATGCAAATGATGGGAGGCGGGGCTTGGAAGAATGGTTCATTCTCTAGTAGGGGGACATGAATATTTTAAAACATTTTGATGTGTACTTGATATGAATAGATTGCAAGTTTTGTCATGTCAACACCTTTTTAAGAATTACTCAACTCTTCCATAATGTAACATCCATATGTGATTTTTTAAGAAAGAGTTTTATTCACATTTAAAAATCATAGCTTCCCCATACTCAAAGTAGGCTCTTCCACATCGTGGGAAGTTTTCAAGTGTTTACTCCTTACGTGCGCCATTCAGAACGGACTATTTCCAGCTTGAATTGTCATTTCTCTGGTAGGATTTTGGAATTTTTGTGAGAAATACGATTTATTATGCTAAAATACACTCTTGTCTGGTATTATTTTCATATTTTCGTTGGAAAAAGGAATACTTGAAACACGTAATGTGCAAGCACATGTTCCTCCCCCCCAAATTATTTCTAGTAACGCTAGAGTCATATCTCCGACCTGCTACGTGTTCCAAAATATTACTTACCTTTTTGAAAAAAAGAGGTGATCTTTTTCCTACAAAAGTACAAGTACGATGACTCAGTAAATCTGCCGTACGTTTGGTGTCAGTAAAGTTCTGCCCGTGCATATTTGACATGTTGCAAAGTGGCCGCTACTTTGGGCGGCTGTGTCCGGGGCATCGTGGCTTTTCAAAAACTTGCACCCAGAAAAGATGTTTTCTCCAAAGGGCATGTACTTTCAATGCTGTTAACTATGCCCCGATTTTGAAAAATTATTATATGCACCGTCCAAAATGAGATCGTACCGGGTGGATGTTCGGGCCAACAAAAAAAGGGACACGAGAGTTAGTTTATTCAAGGCCGTTCAACACCGGAGCGGCCACCCCGGTCTTGTCGGATCCTCTTGCGTACTGGCAGAACTAACGACAAAACATGAAAAGTTCCCGCTAGAATACCGCAACAAGCTCCTACAAAAAGACTTAAATGTATTATTTGTGGTAGGAACTTCCTTTTTACGTCCAGACATGTGCCTTTCGTGACATTTTAACTCTGCAGTTACGTACTTTTTTGCCCGGAACTTTTTTTGATTCTGAAAAAAAAATAAACGTACCGTCTAAAATAAGAACGTACCGGGCGGATTTCAAGGCGAAAAAAAATAAACGTACCGGTACGTTTAATCGAGAGTAAAGAGTAAGCCTCTGGACTTGAATCCGGACCTGAACCTAAAATTGGGTTTAGGTATGCATCACTAGTCAAAAGTAGTCCGGGCACAAATAGTGCAGCACAGTACTTGAGAAAGCTGCAGAGATTCTTCCATGCAGGGCAGTGAGGTGAAAACTGTGCTAAATTGTAGAGGAATGCAGCAGGTCTGAGACCATATAATTTGAATTAGGATGTTTGTTTGGCCGGGGTCAATTGAGCCTGTTACCGCCCAGTTCTATGTGTCGGCTGCAGTCCACAAGTCATGACCCCTGCAAAACGCCATATAAATGTGTTTTTCAATGGAAAACGAGCTGGCAAACTTGAGCTGATTTTCTCATTATTTTGTACGTTGTACCCTAAACCCAAACATATTCAATTTTTGGAACTTGCTTGTGCACCCTGCTATAAATTTTACAGCCTTGAACCTTCTCACTTTGGGTGAAAACTGTGTTCTGCTACCTTGATGGCAATAGCAATGGCGCCTCCTATCACACTGTGTCAGTATTGCAGCCCAGATTACAGCACTGAGAAAGATTCCCTCTCACACAGACGCAATGTCGCATCCCTATCCCTCTTTTACAGATACTTTCACGGTCGATGTTCAGGAGAACTTGCACTTCTTGTTCCGCCGTTCAGAACCTTTCAGCTTGCCACTAGGTTCTCTTCCAGTTCTCATCAATACACCGTCAACATACATGTACCTGTCTCCAAGTCATTTTACAACAACAGCTTCTTTCCCCGGACTGCAAAATTATGGAACTCTCTTCCAAACAGTTGCTTTCCGTCCGACTACAATCCACAAAGTTTCAAAACAAAGGTCCACCGCCATCTCCTGATATAACTACATTTATACTCACTTTAGTACCTCTAGCTCTATGCCTAGAAGTGGCCAAAAATAATTGGCCTTGCATTGATCGACACCGTTAAAAAAAAAATACCTGATGTCTTTTCTCCCCAGCAGCTTGATGTCCTGACAGCACAGTTTGATCTCACTTGTTGTCAGTGGATGGTTGGCAATCTTCTCATCGTCAAACACCAGCTGGCAACACATTTGCATATGACAGATTACTGAGTGGACAAACTACACTTAAGGCCACATCAATCTGACTTCTTGGTTAACGGATTCGCCCGCTTCATTTTTTTCTGATTTGAAAATAAAAATAAAAATTCAAAATCAACTGCAAAATGCTCATATTTTGCCTGAACAGATGAAAACAGTCCTTTTCTTCCTAGTTGTTACAGTTATTCCATCTTTCAATGCAATGGTATCATTAAAAGTTCAAAATTCATTGTTTAAATTTTGAACCGGCCTGGTGTGTTGATTTCATGGCTCCTATCGTACCATTTTGGGCCATAATAGGATGCCTAGGCCTCTTTTTATTAATTTTTTTTTTTTTTGCCCGCCCGCTCCATTATTTTTCTAGAAAAATCCGTTGACAAAGAAATTAAATTGGTGTGGCCTAATAAAATCAAACCTGCCAAGGCAAAGTCTTCTAGCTAACCACCTGGCCATGGTCACCTTTATTTTTCGGTCCCCCAAATTTTCCCCATTGATGCAAGCATTAAAGGCATCCAATGTGATTTCAGAGCAGCAAAACTGGAAATATTCTGAATAAGGCAATCTTTGTGATATTGACACATACTACTTCACATTAGCACATTTCAATCAGTATTTCATACTTTGGGTATTTAAAGCTGCAGAAACAAGCCCCAAGATGAGTCCTTTATTTTCCAAGTGGTACCCAAAAAATCAGCTCAGGGCCCTTCCAGTAACCATTTTCTGTCAGAATTTTGGGTATTTTTGCTCCATGAGGGTCATTAGGATAGTGTGGTTTCAACTCAGTATATGGATAAGTGACAAGAATATTGACTTTAAAAAATAGGGTTCCAAGCTAAAAACTACACTGGATGCCTTTAAGCCACCAGGAGACCAGGAGCTGGAGTGATCGTGGAGAGACTGGCTGTTGACTAAACCTGCCGGGACACTCTGCCTCATGTGTCAGACACTACTGGAGAACCTAGGTCTGAGTTAGTTTAAGGCAACAACCTGTTTCCAGAAAAAAGTTTTGCACTATAATACTAAATCATTCAACAGTTTTAAAATGAGCAAATATACAATGTTTACCATATTGGAAAACAAAACTAAAGTTGTAGAAATCTTAAATCCAAAGGAAAAAAGAAAAGAATGTGAAAAAATGAAAATGAAGACTTTCAAAACTGGCCATTTTGCGTCGGATTGCGACTGCTATGTTGTTAGTCAACCTTCTTCAAGGTTTGACTGTGTATAAAATATCAAAATATACTAGGAAAAATGTATAACGTATCCATCCTATTTCCAGTGCTGAATGAAAAATGTCAAGCTACTTTGTATAATGTACAGTAATTTTATTCTCATGTTTTCTCATTTATTAATATTAAACCTTTTCAAATGATATCTTTAATTTCTGACTGAATGTACATTATATCTGGTTGTTATGAGAAACTCACCTGATTTTTGGAGGCTAGCATGTCCATGTAACTGTCGCTGGTGATGAACTCGGACACATTGACCTGGTGAAACAGTGTCAGGTCCCCCTCAGCATACCCCTCTGCCTTGGCTTTCTTCTGTTCCAGTGTCTTCAGGTTGACCTGGGGTGTCTGTCCAACATCCACTTCTTTAAAGGCAAACCTCGGATCCAGGAACCTGGGGTCAATTTTGTCAGGAGCTAGAAACCCCTGGACAGTAAACATAAGGATGTTGTTAGAACCTTCATAAAACCACAGAATGGGTGACGCAAATAAGGTGGTTATAGCATCTAACAAGGCCTTATTACACCATATACACTAAGAAACAGGCTGGTCATCAACGGTATTATCATATAGCATGTCATAACCAATCAGATGTCCACAATATGAAATGGGGACTTCTGATTGGTTGACATCTTCTGTATTATCGATAACACATGTACTTAAGTATATATGTACAACTGTATGTTTGGAAACTACTAACATTTGTGTTATTTCATATATACTGACAATCATGTTCTGTGGTGCTGTATCAGCATACAATTTGTAATGAAGTCTATTGACTATATAGAACATCATGTATGACACGAGTGGTTATAATACTTTGTTGGAGGTCACTCCTTCACGGAGTAACAAATAGTGGTGCATACCGGTTCACTGGACTTGGATCCGGACTTGTAAGAATGTTTAGGTTCAAGTCCAAAAAAACCCTAAAATTCAAGAACCGAGTCCGGACTTATTACCATAAAAGACCATTTCACATACCCCTTTTCTTTCCAAACCACCTAAAACCTTCTGTAGATTGCAAAATCTTTGCTGCAAAATGAAGAAAACATTGCCATCGGGCATCTTCAAGTACCGGCCTCCATGTTATGTGGCCAAAGTTTCACCCACACAACATTGCAAGGTTGCCAACATGCAATTTTGTATATGCCATGAGTTTAGGTCCGAACTTACGAGTCCGGAACTGAACCTAAACCTCTGGACTTGAATCCGGACCTGAACCTAAAATTGGGTTTAGGTATGCATCACTAGTAAGAAACCAGGTGACAAACTGTCCTTCCACTCTGGTAAGTCACACACACAGGAAAATGATACTTGAAAGAGTCTCTTACTTCACACACGACAAAGATCTCGGCAGACTCATGTCTGGAGGCCTGAGGTTTTGTAGCGTGGACGTGTTTGAAGAGTTGTTGGAACACCCACAGTAAGGCATGGTAGTCCTTGGAGCGGAACACCTTGGTCACAAAACAGCCACCTTTGTTCAGCACTTCTGTGGCCAACCTCAGGGATGCCAGAACTAACTGGGCTGAAAAAACAATTACATGTACAAAATGTATAATATAATGTATGTACTAGCAAGATTCAAGTTACATTCTATATCTGTAAAAGCTAACTTCAAAATTTTAAACAAGTACACTGTATACTAGTAACAAATACATTCTGACACTTATGAGTCAAGAAAATACTGCATAATAATTTAATGATAAATTTGGGTGCAGAAAAGTACATAATTTTTTATGCACAGATTGTGAGGCTGTGTGGTGTATAACAGCAAGGCGTTTTGCCTCAAAACCCAGAGGTCCTGGGTTCAAATCCTGCCGTGTCACCGATCATGTGCCTTTGTACAACATTCCTCACTTGACCCAGGTGCAAAATGGGTACCTGACTTTGGTTGGGGAGGTATATGATGAAAAAGGCAGTGGAAGGAGAGGGATGGGTTTCACTTTCCAATACCGTGCCCTAGACACAGTGCATCTACTGTGAGTCTACAGCCCTATGTACCTTTTACTATCACCAGACCTACACGTCATATATAAAACTGCATACACAATCATACTTCTGGCTTGCACATACCAGACACTGCTTTTTCCCTACAATGGACCTATACCATTATTTCGTCACAGTTTGTTTTCCTGTTCTAAAGAACACTTTAGAAAGGTCAGTTAAAGAATAAAGATCATTTCAAAGTTTTCAAAGTCAGGTATGTCTGATTTTTGCTGTGTCTAGTTGTGTTGACACAGCATTACATGCCGTAATGGGTGATTTAGTAGTGACATTAGATGAAAGTAGTACTGTATAAAGGCCTTATATTAAGTCTAACGCTACACAAACACACACCGCGCTACGCATCCCTGTACAATATAAACGTCGATTGACCGGCATTCATTGTGGTAAACAAACTGTGACGTAATAATGGTATAGGTCCATTGGCCTTACCCTGTTCACTTGCATCTTTGAGCCAATTGGAGCCGACATTAGGAGCACCGTCATGCAGTACACAGTCAGCCTGCCAGGTGGCCAACTCCTTCTTCAGGGCCTGGTGTACAGCACGGGTGGACATACATGTACAGGTAGAGAAGGAATATTAGAGAACTTAGACTGGGGCATTATGTAACATTGTTGTGTCAATATTCAAACATTTTAATTTGACAAATCATGTGATTGCTATTTACTTCCACTTTTCAATGTATTGTGCAACTATCACGCATTTCTGACATTTATGGTTGGTGCTAAAATAGCCCACACAAGACAGTTATGGTACCACCACAAAATACTAGAATGTAAGCAAACATGGCTGACAATTAAGTGTCCAGCTTTTAAAAACACTTATATGGTGTAATATTTTGGCATCACCTCCTGAATCGGTGAGTAAATGACATTATTTGCAATGGAGTAGGCTTGATTCGATTTACTTTGTGAAGAAATGGCCAGAAAACTGACTTACGTTTTTGTATCATAACCTAATGTTGCATAATGCAACCTTGTATGTTCCATTGCCCGTAGCATCAGTACAGTTAGAATCTCTATTGTGCATGCTGGGTAGAACTGACCTGTCTACACTTGTCTGTTGTGATGTCTGCCTGGATGGTGCTAACATTAGGGATAGGCTTGATGGGCACCAAATCTACACCTGCAGGGGAATCATACATTCATGTCACATCTGTGCAGGGATAACATTCAATATGGGTGTACAGGACTGTGTGAGAAGTAGCAATATCACATAGTGTCAGCCTTCTCAAAAAAATTTAGAGTAGGTGGCTGATAAGAAAAAGTAGCAGGCGAGCCACGAAGTGGCTCGAAGCGAGCCGCGCAGCGGGGAGGGTACGGGAGGGGGGTGGCCCCCCTCCCGTTGGGGGGGTCCGGGGGGCCTCCCCCGGAGGAAATCGTAAAAATTAGACCCCTAAACATCGTTTTTGGTACATTCTGAGCAGCTTTTATGGCAATCTTGTGGCTCCAAAATTTACTGTTCGTGCACAAATAATTCCGGAAAAAGGCTGTATTAAAATTGTTTGCCACTCCGATCGTATTACGCGCGGTCCTTGCGCCCGGCCACAAAATGCAGAAAAATAAAGAAAGCATATTTAAATGTCAATTTGATCGAAAACATAATCATTGGGATGTGAAAAAATGTCACAGTTTCGCTTTTTGGAAGTTTTGTTTCTGTTTTGACGGTTTAATTCTAGCGGGGTGCGATCCATAAATGCCCTATGGAAATTCACCCCGCGTCCCGGTACACTGACTTCCGGGTTCCTTGAACAAGAAAATTACGAGAAAATGGCCAAAAATCGGCGTAGAGAAATATATATCTTCCCGAAAATTCTTTTAATTATGTATTTCTTTAATAGGATGTTGCTTAGTAGTCGTAGAAAAAACGTAGAAAGCAGCGTAAATGTGTCTCTTCTTCACCGGCGAGAGCCTGCCGGCGAAGAAAAATCTTCCCGCGCTGCCGGCTGCTGGCCACATCGCTTATCCAATCAGAACGCAGGTCATGTGAGGTGAACCAATCAGAGCGTCGATCGCACGCTGCTACTTAATATTCATGACAAGATGGCGCCTGAAAGCTCCTGTTTTTGTACAGC